TCTTCCTTCCAATCGTTTCGCCGAGTTTCGCCTATGACGGTCGTTTCCAAATTTCTATCGACTCTCATTTTTACAGGGATATTATTAACATATATTAATATGTAAGGATTTTTTTTATGCGATTGACCGATCCTCCTTTTATATTTTTGCCTTTCCTTTCATATTTATGTGGGTTTCTCGGATTGCCCACAAATTTCACTACACCTCTCCAGGTGTTTTGACATCGATTATTTCTAAGAGTTTCATCTCTATTTATTTCCTCAAATTGGGGTCGATAATTATTTCTAAATGTAGGAGCATGAGCTCCGGTTCTGCGGAACTCGGAAGTTGGTTGTTGATTTCCGTTAAAATTTCTCTTTTTAGGCCGGAAGCATTGTGCGCTTCGTCCTCTATTCCTATTTTTCTCCTCGTGCGATTTTCTTATAAAAGTATTAAATTGATTTCGTAAATCCCCTATAGCCCCAACTACTTCTTTCATTTGTTATTCAGAATTTGATTCAGTTTCCATTAAATTATTCTTCTTATTATCTACTAATTCTTCCTCTTCTTTTATTACTTTTAACAGACCTCTAGGATGAGAAGTGAGGAACTCTATATTCTCATTTATTGCTATTTTTAGAGATTGGTCAAATGTTTCGGGTTCTCTTGACATAACTCTTTTTCTTATCTTTATGTCAACCCCATTCATAAATTGAACCTATAACGTTTCGTTTAACTCTTTTTCCTTAACTCTCCTTATTACTTCTATTTCTGCGTCATTGGCCCCTTCATGGGTAATTTCCACCTCTTCTGCCAAGGCCTGGAGTCATACAGCGAACGTTTGTACGTTCTCATCTCTGGCCTACACGCATGCGTAGAACTTCTGGATTCTATAAGTGTAGGGAACCTTTTCGAAACGCCTTATCATTAACTTTTTGAATTCCTCATAATCCTCTTCCTCCTTTATCTGCCTATCCTTTCGCACAAATTCTCTGGCAATGCCTGTCAGCTTCAACTTGGCTACCGCCAGCATCTGTGCCTTTGACCATGCTGCTACTCTAGTCACATCCGCTAATGTGTCGAAAAATTTGGATACTTTCAGACCTTTCACGTCCCCCAAAAAAACCGGCAAGAGGGGAATCATTCCACCTAATCCGCCTAACGTTATTGCATTACCAGCTAACGTAGCTCGCGGAGGTTATTCCTTATCTCTATCCATTTTAAATTATTTCTATGCTTATTATTAACTTAAAATTAATCAAATTATCAATCAATCAACTAGTTATCTCTCACTTCTGAATCAGATCTTTGGATTTTTTTTTCTTTAATCTCACTCATATAAACCACTTACTCAAAAGGTTTCAGTTCGAAACCTCACTCCTGGCACCAAATGTGAGATCCAGCCTGGGATACAGGGTAGGTTTATTACGCCTGTATCACTTACTAGGAAGCTAGTCGGTAGGACTAGTTCTCTACGATCCAGATCACTAAATCTGATCTCAAAAAGTTTCATAGGAAAGCGATAACCGCTAGTAGATCTGAACTGTGAAGTCCAGATGCTTGTCAGGGCTGACACCAGTTTGTCAATTATGTTCTGAAATCAACGGGAAATATATTTCTCATTCTATGTCCATGCTAGAAAATAATGGCACAATAGTCAGCGATATACAGGGTATTGCCGATTTATTGGGAGAAACATTTTCGTCTTCATCCAGTAATATTATGTATCCAAGAAATTTTCAGGCTTATAAAGCCCAAAGCGAAAAAAAATATTTAAATTTCCATTCTTCATTTAATGAGGAATATAATGTGCCATTCACTAACATAGAACTACATACAGCGATCTATCGCTCGGGGAATAGTGCTGTAGGCCCAGATAAAATCTACTACAGCATGATTAAAAATCTGTCAAACAATTCCCTTTGTAATCTTCTAAACCTGTTTAACAGAATATGGACAGAACATACTTTTCCTGACTCTTGGAGGCTATCGATCATTATTCCCATTCCGAAGCCTGGTAAAGACCACAAGAATCCCTCAAATTATAGACCAATCTCTCTGACGAGTTGTCTCTGTAAACTCTTTGAGAAGATGGTAAACAGACGTCTGATGTATCTCTTAGAGAAAAATGAATACTTTTCACCACATCAAAGTGGTTTTCGCAGGAACAGAAGTACCACTGATAACTTAGTAAACCTTGAAACAAGTATACGCGAAGCGTTTGTTAGACGACAACACTTAGTGTCTGTGTTTTTTGATATAGAGAAGGCCTGTGATCGCTGTTGGCGATATGGGATACTCCGTGATCTGGACCATTTCGGATTTCGGAGTAATTTGCCAATTTTCATAAAAAAACTTCTTAGAGAATCGAAGATTCCAAGTCAGGATGGGCAACACTTTATCTAGGCCTTTCACGCAACAAGAAGGTGTTCCTCAAGGCTCTATTTTGAGTGTGACTCTGTTCCTAATTAAAATTAATAGCATAGCTNTCCCTTTCATGGTCGATCCAGTGTTGCCAGCTAAAACACGTAAAAATAATATTAAAGTAGCCAAGACATAGCCAAATATTGTAGCGCAACATCACTAGTGGACATTTGAATTTGCAGACTAGAACGCCGTTCGTTAACTGAGGTGACGGTTAATCGGGGGTCGGATAATCGATGCTCTACTGTACAATAATTCCCATTGTATGAACATACAAATAATAATAATTGTAAAATTAACCTTAACAATATAAAAATTTTGCATTTTGAAAAAGATCCTTATAAAAGAAAATTTAAAGAGCATTTAGAAATAAGGAAACAAAATATTAATTTCATAAATAACTCAGATGATATGCAAATTGATTACCACTGGTACAAATTAACACATGGCGCTATAACAAGTTAAAACATGGTACACTTATTTGTAAAAATCTTCCATAGTAATTCTGATACTAGTATATTTTTAATAATATTGTTTGTGTATCAAAAAAACTTTTACATACGTATGTCAATTTTTATGTTAACAATTTTTTACTACGTCTGTTATATACCCATGTGAAAGAAGATTTAAATGATTGTAAGTATTATGGAAGTTTCTTTGTTGGAAGTTATGGTTGTTTAATTTTAGATGTATATTAATACGGAATGCACAATTTTATGTTTAAATACAGGTTAATGAATGAGGAATGTTTGCCCACCCAATTCCTATTTTGAAAACAAAAAATAATTTTTTGTAATTTACATAATGTGAAAATGTAAGTGTTTTTTTATAATTTAGTTTGTTTCTAGTCATGTTTTAATATTTTTTGTTTATTTGAACTAGCACTGAGGGGGAGGGTTGGAGTACATTCTACCAACCCGAAATATATTTGTACTTCAATGAAAAATAAAAAATTATTTGCTAACCAGAAATTTCTGTGAGATACGTCTTCCAAAGTGTTTTTTTAATTACAGAGACGGATTTACATTTGTAAGAGGCCTTATTTCTCAATGATTTTTGGTAGTTCGAGCAAATAACCTTCTCATTAAATTTCTTCTCAAATTGTAGCAAAAAATTATGCCAATATTACTATATTTTTAACATGCTTCTTACGTGTAACCTTACGAACAGTTGTTTCATCAGTAAAAATATAGTTTTTATAAAATAAAGTGAAAGTGTTTCCAAAAATTTTTTAAAGGAATTTTCAACCTTCATATCTGCGGAAATGCGCTGGTAAATTAGTATTTCCGTAATTTTTTCCTGGTGAAATTTTTGGAAAAATTTGTAATAGTAGAATTTCGTCAGATAACAATTTTTTGTAAGGTAAAAAATTTTGGACAGAGTGGATCTTTATTTAACTTACAAAAAATTTTTAATACGAGGAAATTCTAAAATTACAAATTTTTTTAACGATTTGTCACCGGACAGAGATATAAGGGGATCTGCATTTACCAGACCATTTCTTTAGCAAATATAATCGGAAGTCTCTAAATACAAACGATAAACGAACCAGAAAAAAACTCTAAGATCCAGCAGTTCCTATTTTAAGTTTATTATTTCATTTGGATATTTTCTGTGTTATTTTCATAAGAATGCTTTAATCTTGACAGCCAAGCAGTCTAAAAAGAAAGGTCTAGTCCTTAAAGGTTTATATTCTGGATCACGGGATAAGAAAAATTAGTTGTTACCAAATTTGTAAGACAGACTGTGTTTTTAATTATCTTACAAACAATCGACATCTGACGAAATTTTTAAGGAAACGAATATTGTAAATTTTTAAACATTTTCTTTTTTTAATATGTAGAGATATTTAATTATACACATATGCAAATATATTTGTATGTGTTAGACCTTATTTATCAATGATTTTATGTAGATCGAATGAGCGAAAAATCATTTCATAAAATTTATAAAATAATAAACTGAATATATTTCGTACAGAAAAAAGTGTAATTTAATTAATCATACAATACCCTTAAAAGCCAATACAAGTTGTATAACAGCACAACAATTTAATTTGATATTTTGTCAAACAGCACTTTAAAGTACCTTTATTATGACTTCAGCTTTCATAATTAATTTTCTATTTCAGGAAGCAGATGTGGTCTTTGTACCTATAGTTCTCAACCACGAACGCTTCTCTGCAATGGAGTTTACATCATATTTTTTTTTTCCTTCAACAGTTTTTCTTATTAGAACTCCGGATAAAGTTTTTTATTGGAATTCTGTTACGAAGCCTTTTACCTTAAATGTAACTAACAATAACAATTCTTAAACTATAACTAAAACTCAAACATAAAGTTATATTTCATTATAATCAGGTTTGGATCGCTATATTTTGTATTGTATTGATATTTGGACTAACGCTACATAAAGTCCTAGAGAGAGACTTTGTTGCTGCAAAAGCAGGAAAACGGTGGACTCTATGCAAGGTTTATTGGCATTTAGTTTGTACAATTCTGGGAAAAGGTAACATTTTTTAATTATGATATAACTCAAACTCGGAGTTTTATAAGTAAAAGTCTTTCTAATTCAATTTAGGATTAAATCTAGATAAGATGAAAAGATTTGCGTCCAGATTCATGATAGGAATTTGGTGGTTATCAATTCTTGTTTTGATATCAAGTTACAGTGGAGCGTTAATGTCTTTTATGACTTGTCCATTAACTGAGTCTTTTCCAAAAGATTTTCGAGAACTTGCTGTTTTTGTCCGCAACGGTGAATACTCATGCGGAACATACAAGGGATATTTTATTTGGAAAGATATCATGGTAAGTGTTTTAAATTTATAGATTTATACTTACTTTTATGGAAAGATGTCTTCTGTGTGTTTTTTTTTTATATTTCAGTATTTGTTCATTATAAGGATTGTGTTTTATAATAATATATTCATTAATTCTAGGAATCGAAATCAGAAAGTATTAATATTTTAAGTGAAAACATTTTGTCGAATAATAATTCAATGGCTATTGCAGAAGGCATTAAAAAGGCACAGAATGAACGATTTGCATACATAATGTATAAAACTGTGTTAAATTACTACATCAGTAACGTAGAAAGGCATAAATACGTGATGTCGAAAGATTCTTTTCGTACATATATGTGTGCTTATACAGTCAGAAAGAATTTTCCATTTAAAAAGGATATGACAAACATGTAAAAAATTTATAAATTTATTCTTACTTCATACGATAATTAACATTTATTTATATATTTATAAAACAATTTTATTCTAGAGTAACTCGCATGTTTGAAGCTGGAATTTTTGAAAAATTGAATAATGAAGAAGTTAATGAATTCCAAGAATCATCAAAATTCCGACCATTGTCAATCGAAGATATTGAAAGTCCTTTGTTACTTATGGGCATTGGATATCTAATGTCTTTAATCTGCTTAATCATTGAAATAATATTAACTAAAGTAATTAAAATTGTTCCCCGTAATCCACTTTACTAATGTATAATTATAGAATTTAACTATTATAATAATTCTGCTAATCTTTTCAACACAAATAAAATAAAACTTTATATTTCCTTTATACTGTGTATTAGTTATAGTCGATAGAACAAAACACTGTTTAAATTAAGTAATTGAGTGTTATTAATATAGACAGCGCATAATTCTATTACAGATTACGTATGAAAAATTGAAATATATTATGATATTGAAACTAACTAATTTTGAATATTGCAATTCATTAAAATAACAATTATATATAATAATCAACTTTACAATTTTCAACTATATAATGTTTCATATTGTAAATATAAATTGTATCCGAAAAATATAACAAAAATTTTATAGAAACTCTCGTTTGCATGAAAATATTTTTGAAATAATTATGTATATATAAATATTTGTTGTTGCTTAAATCATTGTATTTAGAATATTTATATACTTCACCTACCGTAAGTAAAAACTATTATTATTATCATGTAATATTAATGATTTGTTACTTACATATACTAGAAATCATCGTATAATGTATTCGTAATATTCAAACATACTTTCGTTCATTGTAAAATACAAATTTTTTAATCATGTACAGATTATAAGAAGAAAGACTTAAACAAAAACTAATGTTACCGCTTGCTCGAAAATTTCTTATTTTTATAATTTTACTATCATTTAATAAGTTTGTACCAATAATAAAAGTTAGAAAACACTTTCTGATTCGCTTCGTGTTAAAAATAAATAATTTAAATTATAAGCCAACAAGCACAATTAAAAATATATGTCAACCAGTTTAAATTTCATATTCAGTTTTAAATCAACATTAAGTAACTTAAAATTTTTGAGTAGTAAAAAAAAATCGATATTACTGACCAGATATTCTGAACGTTTTACATATTTTCATTTTGTTAACATTATTATTAATTTCAGACTGAAGATATATATTAAACTAAATTTATTAAATTTTGTTAAATCATTTAAGTATTTACACATATATTTTAAAAGATTCAGTAAATTTTACATCCACATAAATATGAAAATAAAATTAAAAAACGTAGATTTACAATTTCCTTATTTACACTTAAGAATATATTAGCACATTNAAATGAAGACTACTGATCAGATATTCTTAACGTTTTAAATGTTTTCATTTTGTTAACATTATTGATAATTTCAGACTGAAGATATATATTACACTAAATTTATTAAATATTGTTAAATTATTTAAGCATTTTGACATATATTTTAGACCCTTCAGTAAACTTGACATCTACATAAATATGAAAATAAAATTATAAACGTATATGTTTTGAAAATAATTTTAAAATATATAAATTACTGTACAATTTTTTATATATGTTATCTCTTAACATAACATAATGTATGTTAAAAAATGTCATAAATAATGTTATAACAGTTCTCTTAACTCGACTATAGCGTTTTACCGCCTTACCGATAGTTCAAAAAAGTCAAACGCGACCCCTGACACCAATTTGTGGGTAGTCTCTCAGGTCGACCAAGTCGTACCTCTTCTTGATCGGCAACAATTTGGTGCAAACTACCCACTGGTCAAGGATGGCTGGTCTATGGGTTTCTATCCCGAAAATCGGGATTCTTTTTGTCAGGTCGAGTGGAGGAGATTAGAGTAGTAGTTGGTAAGACATTGGCGATACTCGAATTAAAACACCAGTTAACAACAAAACAATAATTTATTGGACATAACTTAAATAATCTAGCTACATAGAAATTATCGCGAGCATACACATGCAAAAATCGAGGGAAGCACGCCGAGAAAGAGTTTACAATATTTGTGGTCATACCTGTGGGATTGTGATTACTGATGTATGTGACAGAGTCAGACGTCTGTTTTTTTAACAGCGACGACTACAGATGTCAAACGGCCTTAAGCCCGAGATATCTCGGGCAAGTTGGACTCCCTCGGGTGTTTGGACTCCCTAAAAAATGTTTGTTTTTTTGGATTTTTAGAATGTTTTTTAAATTCTCAACATTTTCAAAATTTCTTTCCTGCCCAAAAAAATTCTATCGCGATTTTAATTTACATTTAATGACGCACAATTCTCGCTTAATTGATATGATATTTCATTCATCGTTCTAAAGTTGTAGTGCACAGATTTTCCTTCAGTAAAGTTATTTAAAGCTATTTTCTAATAACAAAAATGTCCTCCAATACTTTTTTAATTTTTTTTAATTAAATGACATCATTTATGGTTAAGGCTTTTATGTCCAACAGATGGCGCTACGAGTACGACGCCCTAAGTTTGCTTTTCTGTGAGGCATCATGCTTTTCTGTGAAAATGAACTAACGCAGATCATCTTCTATCTATCTATATCAGGGCTGTCCAACTGGCGGCCCGCGGGCCGTATACGGCCCGCCAAATAATTTTTACGGTTCCCGAGTACATTTTACTAGGAATAAATTTATGTTACTAAATTATTATTATTGTGACCGTAGGGTCGGTTTCTCTTTGACACCACGTCAGGAGACCTGAATCTGACACCACCAAGTCTCTGGGGGACTCGGAAATTGCGACGTTAAGTCCTCGAGCGGTAGCGGGTGAGCGATTGGATTCGGAGTAGAGGTGAGGAGAGAGACGAAGAAGTGATTTACTCATCTCTCTCCTCACTTTTACTCCGAATCCAATCGCTCACCCGCTACCGCTCGCGTGACTTAACGTCGATTTTTCCGAGTCCCCCAGAAACTCGGTGGTGTCAGATTTAGGTCTCCTGACGTGGTGTCAACGAGACACCGACCCTACGGTCTCAGTGGTGTCAGAGCGAAATAGAATTTAGAAACGACTCTAGATAACTCGAAATAAAATGGGGACAAGAGGTGAAGGTCAAGCGCGAGAAGAGACAGCAGGAGGTGCACGAGCAGAGCCTGCAGGAGGAACCGCGTTAGGCGGATCAGGAGGCATGATTCCATTGATACCTTCCTTTGCAGGGGACACAGAGGGTCTTAAGGTCACCGATTTTTTTGAGTCTTTAGACGAAATCGCAAAATTAACTATTTGGAGTAAAGCACAATGTTTAGAAATCGCACAGTTAAAATTAACGGGCATAGCCCGAGAATTTGCATGGAAGGATGCAAAAATGCAGGAGGTGGTGACATATGAGGAATTCAAGAAACACATGATTAAGAGATTTGATAGAGAGCCAATTTCTTAACGTTTACAAAAGCTCCATGCCTGTGTCCAAGGGCGAGACAAAGATGTACAAACCTATGCCATGCGATTACAAACCCTGGTAAGGGATACAATGGTAGAACAAACTAGCGGGGATGCGCAGGAAAGGGAAGTTATCAAAAGATGTCAACAAAAAGAGAGGGACGAAAAGATTGCTGGTGCAATTCCTCAGCGGCTTAAATGAGCGTATAAAAAGACAAGTGATATCGCGAGATCCGGAAACATTCGATAAGGCGGTGCAGGCAGCCATCAGCGAGGAAACTATTGAACAATTAACGGCGAAATCACGAGCGATAGTCAGGAACATAAACAATCCTACCGAACCGAAAAAGGATCCTAGTGGAACACATCAGAAGCAATTAGAGGATACTTTAGCAGAAATTCAGGAGCGATTGAGACGATTAGGAACTCAAGAAAGAAGTCAGGGAAACCCTCCACGCAGAAATCCCATATCTTGGCGCCCCAGAGCTTATGGCGACCGATCACAATATCAACCCCGAAGACGACTGGACGACGGCTCGCGAGGGCCCCGATATCCTTACTGGGATCGAACTAGAATCGAAAATAGAGATGCTACATATGCTCCCCAAGATAGTAATAGGAATGTATCAAGGGGACCGAGAATCGACAGAGCACGAACAAATTCCCAGCCACCCAGGAAGCAGACATATGGCAGAATTAACAAAGTAAATTGGTGGGAACGCAGAATGCCATATCATAAATAGGCTCGAACCTTTCGGTCTTCCCAAGTGGGTTATCATGGATTATATAGAGAGTTTCGATCCCCGACACTAAGAAACTCATATAGCTCCCGAAGGGGAATTCTTTTGATGTCTAAAGGTAAAGGAGGAATCCGAGCACTAGGCCGGGATTCTGAACCTAGTTTATTGTGTAAAATCGACGGATATACGGCTCGACTGGCTTTAGATACAGGGTCTAAAGTCACGCTTCTATCCCGATCATTGGTTCACAAGGTGGCTGGCGTAGAACTTAATTGGAAAAAAGGAGAGATTTTGTTCCAAAGTGTTACAGGCCATGGAATAACCACCTATGGAACCATAAAGGTTCCATAGGTGGTTATTCCATTCTAAATCTGACACTACCTATGGAACCATAAAGGTTCCATAGGTAGTGTCAGATTTAGGTCTCCTGACGTGGTGTCAACGAGACATTGACCCTACGGTCACATTATTAATATTAAAATTATTTTACTATGTGAAAATTTAAATCTAATTTGAATTTAAAGTAGGTACTAGTTAGTTTGCGTAACTTCACTTAACCTGGCTGAATACAGCAGCAACCTTCTTGGCCCCCGAAATGTTTGGTGAAGAAAATATGGCCCGCGGGCTATGATAAGTTGGACAGCGCTGATTTATATAAATAAAAATGTAATGTTCATTTGTTCCTTCCAATTCCTTTGAAATTTTGACACAACGTTGCATTCGAATACGAACGTGTCTTTTATAATATACGTGTCGAAATTCAACCCCACCCTACTGAAGGGAGACGGTTAGGATTAAGGCTTACGGTATAGAACTCTGCTTCTATTTACGTATACTATTTTAGATGCGGGTTTTTGCGTTTTTGATTGCGTTTTAATAGGGTACATCAACAGAATGTACACTGAAAAGAAATTTTTTGATATTTGCCCTGTGGGGTAGAGAGACAGGATTAAGGCTTACTGTGAATAACTTGGCTTCTATTATACTATTTTAGATGCGGGTTTTTGCGTTTTTGATTTCGTTTCTATAGGGTACGTCAAGAAAATCTACACTATGAGGAAATTTTTCGAAAAATTCC